GCGAGCAAACAGCTTTCCCTCTCCCTTGCTCGAATGAAGCCTCCGCAACAAGGAAAAAAACTGGGGGCAAAAATGCAAAATTCAAGCAAAATATCAAAATTGCATTTTTAACGGATTCCGTTGTAATTGGCTCTTGTGTAGCTCTGTTTGCTGGGGGATCTGCCCTGTGAGCCCCCCAGCTGCTTTCCTGGGGCTGCAGGGGCTGGTCACGGTGGCCCCCAGCCGCCCCCAGCCTCTGCCAGCGCCAGCTCAGCGCGTCACAAGCGGCGTTCCCGGCGCTCCGGCTCCGGAGACCTTTAAGCCGCCCGCTCCCTGACAGTATTTTGTTAGCACTGGTCTAGACATTAATTGTATTCCTGCAGTTTAGCTTGAGATGCAGGGTGTAAATGGCACCAACAAGAATTCCTAGAAATAAAATTAATACTTGTAATCATCATAATTACAGCAAGCACCTTTTTGTGGCTATTTTATAAAAGGACACTAGTAAAACATCTTATTTGAAGCTCAAATATATTTTGTAAAATGTCTTTTCATTTAATGAAATCATTTTAGCTTCAGTAATTACTTATTTAAGTCTGGTGTTAACAGAAATAAGTTAGGGCCACATAAAGCCACCAAGGAATTAGAAATTAATTATGGAGAAGGCAAAGGAAGGTCTGCTTTGGGACATGCAAGGCTTTTCTTGGCTTTGACACTTAGGTTTGTGCCTCATTTTATCGCATCCCCCAGTGTTTAAAGAAGGCAGAAAAATGTTTCCTGTTTAGGCTAAAGTTTAATTACGTATAGAAATGACAATATTGCCATCTTATATGTGCACATATGCACACACTATGGTTTTTAAACCTTGCTTTAAGGAGCGAGGAGGAGGGAAATGTGAAAACAATCCCTGCTTTAAAATGATAATGCTTGAAAGACACCTGTACCCTCCTGCGTTAGAGTCATCCTTGTTCATCCCAGGAGCCAGGCACATTGCCTCACATGAGTGGGTGAGAATCTCAAAGTTTTGCAATTCGTTAATGTCAGCAGTAAATCATGATTAATTCCTCTGGCAGTCATCGTGGTAAAAAACATTGTCACCACATGCCCTTTGCTATTAATACTGTGTGATCAGCAGTTTCCAAGAAATACTGTTTGAACATTCCCTGTATGCAAACTCAGGGCCTGGCTCTTCCCTCATTAAACCCAATGGTTAAAAAGCCGGGCTTTTTTCAATGGAAGCAGGATCAAGCCATGAATGTTTTGGCCTACAGAGAGGTAACTGGGTGGATCTAATTCTGCTTGGAAAGCCACCACCAGTGAGGACTTCTCCAAGCTCATGCCTTAAAGTCAGCTGCAGGGATTTGATGTCCTGCTGCCCAAACCTCCCTTCTAATTTAGAGTTAAATTTATTATAATGCTGCTAGAGAGCCAGCCAGCTCTCCTTACACCTCTGCAAGCCAAAGGCCTTGACAAGAAACAAAACTTTCTGTAAAGTATTGGGGAGGAGCCCTCAGCTTCAGTAACGTGTTGTCTAAGCAACAAGTTTTTCAAACCGATTTTAATTTTGCTGTCAGCTTTGCAGCAGTAATTTTGCATCCAGGATTTGTCACTGAAAACATATCAGGGAAATGACTGAGCCACAAGTTTTTAAAGATCGCCTGTAACATCATCTGAAATCTGCCTGCAGCTCTGCTGCCAGATAGGAAAAGAGAGGAAAAAGAGAAAACTGAGCAGTCGCTGGGCTGTGCCAGGCATAACTTCTGAAACGTGCCATCGCATCTCCCTTTGTCTGTTCCAGCCAAACACCACTGCAAGGCAACTCCTGCAGACCAGCAAAAGCCACTGGTCCCCTCAGTTTAAGTGCGCGTCCCTACGAACGGCGTCTCCCAAAGCAAAGGGCGCGGATTCGCAGGCTTTCCCCAAGGTGCCCGACTCCAGGCGGAAGAGCCTGCGGCAGTTCTCCATCACCACCGCCCTGAACACCCTCAACCGGATGGTCCACGCGCCCGCCGAGCGGCAGGCGCTGGAGATCAGCTCCCCCGTCCTCATCAGCTCCAGCAACCCCACCGTGGCCACCCAGAGCAGCGAGAAAGCGGAGTTTCCCTACGGCACTCCTCTCCAGGTAAGGAAGCGGCGGTGTGGGTGCTGGAGGAGCAGTATGAGTCCAAAATGCAAATCCTGGATGGAAACACTTGATGTGCAGGCAGCAATTTGAAAAGCGAGAGCACAAACGTGCAAAGACAAAGCACCCATGCTAATAGCGTCAGTAAGAGATGTCATCCACATCAGGCTGCCTGGGATTTTTTCCCCTCCTTTTGAATTGGAAAGGCCTGTCTTCAGAGTTCAGGGACCCAAGGGAATTCATAAAAAGAGAAGTTATCAGAGTAACTAAACGTGGATAAAGCACATTCCCGTCCTGATTTCTGCCCTACTGCAGTGAGCTACCGGTGTAGAACAGAAAACAGAGCTTAACTTGCAAAATAAAATATTTTTCATTTTAGAAAGTAGTATGGAACATGAATTCCCAAGGGAGCTAACTGGGCCTCAGCTCATTCACAGACATGTACGTGTGTTTGTGCCTGAATTCACGCTGCAAGCAAACATCTGGTTTGCCATACAACGATGTAGATCAAAAACAGGCAGTTCTCAACATTTGCAAAATTAAAGCTAAAACCAGCCATTGGCCACTCTCACCTGCGTTACTTTGACGATGAGCCTTTCTAAGCTCCTCTCACAGAATTAAGGTGCACGGGCACAGTAGGACCTGCAGAATCAGGCCCTGAATTATGAGCAAATAAAAGCCCAGTGAGATGAGTGCAGACGCTGCATTGTGCTGAGCAGGTCTGTACTGCCGGTGATTGCTTTAACGGCCTTTTCACCTAACTCCCATGCTTAAAAGGAAAGTAGAAACCTGCTCTTTTTATTAATAGGTATTTCAATTTTTCTGGTAAGTCTCAAGCATACAAGGAGTCCCCAGCATCCCCAATGCTTATCCCCAATGATAAGCATTGGGCTTAACCGAAAAAACTTGATTAAGCCCAAAATCTCAGGAGATCACATGTTTGGGTATCTCTGAACACAACCTTTACTCTGCCCACCGGTGCACACGCAGGCATCGCGGAAGCACGGAGCTCCATTACCGTACCCTAATCCACAAAGTTTTCTCCAAAGGCAAACTGCATCCAGGACAGGCTTCCTCACAAAATGCCAGTTCAGCGGTGTTATAACATCTACAGAAATAATGAAGAAGCCTTCTGCTTCTTCGAAGCAGGGCTGTCAGCCCTTCTGAAAAGCAATCGGGGTCTTTGCCCTACTGTAAATCAGTCCTCTGCCCACATCTATCCACGTCCAGATGAATGGTTTCTGCCAGGGGAGGGCAATTACCAGGAGTCCTTGTCGGTCTGCAATCTAAACCTGGGACTATGCTGAGAGAAGCTGAATTTGGGGCTGAGATAATAAATGCAGACTGACCTTTTGAACTACATCCTCTCTTTATTTTAGGAGGCAAAAGAGTCTCATTCCTTCTTCACACTCTGACTAAAGATCTCAATACAGAATCTTCACAGATCATCTGAAATGGGAGAAAAAAGGTTTTGTTTAGATTTATATGACATCTTTCATATTCAAGGTTGCTCTAACATTTTATAAAGCAATAAGCCAGCCCCTGGTAGTTCGGTGTCTGTGCAATAAAACCCAGCAGGCATTTTGTACTTGGCAATAGCCTGCAAAGAGCCTTGGATGTTAGATCCTGTTTTATGTGAGAGGAAATGAAGCCTTACAATAGAACTATAATTCAATTGAAATGGTATCATGTCTCGCGAACCCAATATAATTTTACCAAAAATGTCTCAGTGTGAACTATTGTCAACAGCAGAAGCAATAGAGTGAACGTGTTAACATTTTACCTTAGAAGGGTTAGAATTTCCTTTCTTCTAAACAACAGTTTAGCTCCCGGAGGTTTGCAGGAGGATCTGTGTTGTTCTTGGGGCCACACAGGTTGCAGCTTTTCCTTTTTCCATCTCTGGGTTTGGGTTGCAATGACTGACCTGCAAAGTTGAGATTCTTTTGCAAGCCCAGATACGCACTGCCAGGCTGGACCACTTTGGCCGTATCCCACTGAGGTCGCTCGTCCTTTTTCCTAGTATTAATCAGATGGAAAAGCTGCGGGGGTGAATTTGTTGATAAGGCAGCCCTCATGATAAGAACAAAGTTGCAGGATTGAGGAGTAATGGGAGAGATGAGAGCTGATGCTGATCCCAAGGGTTGGTCTACCCTGTCAGCAGCTTCTGGTGGAAGTTCAGCTTCGATAGTAAGTGCTGCGATTTTGGAAAAACAGCAGCACATCTCCAAAAGTGTAGTTGTTCCATGGCAATTAAGTTTATATACACAACATTACCTGGAAGGAAAAGATCTGTCTTTCTTGGGTTTAAACTACTCGAGATAAAATAGAAGTTCAGAAGTAATGAACAGTTGCGTGCCTATTGCCAGCCCTGAGAACTCAGCCCTGGAGTACAAGTAGCAAGCTGGGGTCTTCCGTTATTAGCAATATAGTAAAGAAAAGAGTGGGTTGAATCACATCCTTAATTGCTTCCGTGCCTTTTGGTGCTCCCTAGTAAGTCTGCAGAGGTTGAGTAGCCCAGATCTTTGTGGGTGGTCACAAATATGGTGCAGCAGATGGAGCTGAGTCTACAGCTCAGCTCAGCCTTCCTGACTCCGGGCTGAAATCCTCACCAGGATTCACCCAGGTGCCGAGCCTGCGCTCACACACGGCCGTGCTGCGTAAGGAGCAGCGATGGCAGCTCTCGAACCGCCCGGGAGCCAGCCCCAAACAGCACAGCCTCTCAGGAGGAGTTTCTAAGACCTGGTGGGCAAGACTGAACAATTTTTGAGAATGAAGTAGGTGAGGATCTAACCAGTTGTTAAGTGGGAATTGTCCCAGGAGGCAAAGCCCAGGGCTGGATAACCTTAGCTGGAAGGCGGGGGTGAGGTAGATGGGGTAGACTGGGCAAGGGGGAGGGGGGCGGAACGTGCCGCCTTGCCCAGCCCCTGGCCACCAGCACTGATGCCGAGCAGAGGGATGGCACGGGAAGGGTGCAGGCATCTGCCTAAGATGGCGAGCAGCAGGCAAAGCCGTGGAGGCTGCGCGGGATTAGCGGGTGAATCACTGGCAGGAGGAATGCACGCCGCAGCACCCACCCTCCCTGGGAGCCAGGGAAAGTCCGCCTCCCCATCCGGGGCTCCGTGCAGAGCCCAAAGAAGTCTGAGAGCAGCCACAGCCCCCGGGCTCCACACCCAAACACCGGAGCTTTTCTCCCTCCGTTGAAAGGAACTGCCCCAGCAGCAGCATCCCAGCCCTTCGCTCGCCTCCGTGCACTGGGCAGGCGCTCGCTCGCCGGGAGGTGCTTTTGTCTTTTCAGACAATGACCCAGTTTCATTCCCTGCCTGAGATAAGGATGTAAGGCCCCGTGAGACCAGCTGGAAGGAAAGGAGCTGTGCTGCAACTGGGTTTGACACTAGCAAGGGTTAGGATCACAGGAGGGGGGTCCTAGCACCAGCCATCACTTGGGGATGGGGCAGCAGAGCGACCTTAGCGATCAAACTGGAAACCTAGTGACCCTGTTACTATCCAAGCCTTTAAATCCCTCTCCTCTGCAAGGACAGGCTTCTAGACAGATATTGAATATACATTTGGATCTAGTAATTTTTTTTTAAATCCACATATTTTGAACAGATGTGTTCATTGCTTTCTTTGGGGGTCAAAAAAAGTGGGAATTTTCCAGTAGCTTTTAGTTACATGACACTTGCCCCAAGCTATGAGACTACATACGTTTGAGGGAGACAAAGGAGATCATTAGTTTCCACCTGAAGCACCCTGTGCGTGACATGTGCCCTGGCGGAGTCACGTCTCCAGCGATGCCGGCGCTTGGCAGGGGGAGAGGGAGCAAGAGGGGCTGCACCGTGGGTACAGGCAGCAACAAAGCACGGCTTAAGAAGCAAAGCTGAAGAGGCTGTGGCTGGGCGTTTGTAGGGCTTTCCAAGACATGATGTGCCTGCCTGCCTGGCATTTCCACCAACAAGGATCAGGTCGGACTCATTTCGGCCCATAAAAGGGAATAACCGGCAGCAGCCAGCACTGCCGCCAGCCCTCCTCCTGCTCTTCCTTCCCCTTTGTGGTGCCAAGCCGGGCTCAGGCGGGAGCCAGAACCAGTTTGCAGGGCTTGTGGTGCACCGTGTCTGTGCCTGTGCCTGTTGTGCAAGCGGGCCGGCTGCGGGGCGAGGGGAGCGCGGCGGCGCTGAACTGCGCCCGCCCTCTCCGCCTCCAGCGGAAAGCACCAGCAGCTGCAGGGATCTCTTCCCAGTCAAAACTGAGCTTATTCCCCTGGGCCTGGCGGTACTTGGGTCAGGAAACATCTGGCTAAGAGCTGCTGCTACCCTTTGCCGCTCGTTAAAGTGAGCTGATCAGCCTGACATCTGCCGTCTAGTACATTTGGCTTTTCTATGTAATAAATGATCTGAAACTTGCAGGATCCAACTTTCAGTAGCACCAAGAGCACCAATTGCCCCGCGATGGAACTGGAAAAATCTCCCTCCCCACAAGGTATCTCATGAGCACTCTCGACAGGGAATTGCCTGTGTCAGCAGGGCACTGTAGAGAGGAGCCGCGCTAGAAATCACGTTGGCGACAAGCTAGGTAGGGAGATGGAGTAAGAGAGGGATTTAAGGAGAGGCGGAAAATGAAACTCTTTGTACTTATAAGGGCTTGCAAGGTACTCACAGGAGATCAGCAAAAGTGAATGCTGAAATCACTTATACCTGGCTGGAAAATATTTCATTCAATCTTTTTTCCTCTCTGTTGAAAATAGAAAACCAGCTTTGATGCAGGCTCTGGAAGGATCACTGCTTCCATGCAGAGTGAAAACAGAGAGAGAGATGAAAAATGTTAAGCTTTCCATACAGAAGTGGACATTTCTACACAGTTCTATCGGGAAGATCGGAGCAAAAGTTTGTCATTTTGCTCCAATGCAGGAAAAAGAAACTCCAAATCCCCAAAATTTTAAAGGTTTTGATTATCAAAATTAAAACAGAATTATAATTTTCAATTTTATTTGTATGAGTGGCTGGTCTGACCCTACCTGGACTAAACAATGAGGAACGCAAAGATGGTTTGAAGCTTACCTGCCACTCCAGGTCCAGAGACAGAAGCTGTAGTTGCTGGGGTTTTTTAATGAAATTAATTTACTGGAGAGCAACAGAGCTGGTGAGTCACCTTTTTTTTTTCCCTAGGTCCTTACTAAGCCAGTGCCCCAGCACAGCGTTACAAACATGACCACTAGAAATTAGATTTGAAATAATACGGGATTAAAGCCCTGACAACTTGCATCATTAAAGATCCTGTGGTCTTTGCTGGAGAGCATGACTGCCAGCCACATCCCAGCCCGGTGACTTTCCGCTGGCCTGAGATTCCCCAGGGACGCTGCTGCAGCCGCCCTGCCTTGCTGGGAACTGTGTTTTCACCTCCCGACAGCAGCCGCGCTCCTGCAGCGGCACAACACGGCTAACGCCTTTCAGCGTGCGCAGCGCTGAATTTCAAATGGGGATGAACTGCTTGCTCACAGCAGTTCACCCCAGGATACATTTTTGTGCTTTGTAAGGGATAGATCAGCAGAAGAGAGCATCCTGAGGATGCCAGATTGAACCTTTCCTCCAAACCCGCGGGCCCAGGCTCTGCAGACAGGCCAGCACACTGCTGAGCGCGCTCCCTCATCTCCTCCCGGCCCCGAGGTTTGCTGTGCCGCCAGCACAGCGACAAGCAGAAAAGCAAAGTTCACAGCTAGAAACCAAACGGACGAGGAGGGGCGTGCACGGTTGGTGCAGACCAGCAAGTTCGGTAACTGGCACCTTCCTGGGCCGGGCTCAGCAGCACTGCTTGTTCTCACCATTTTCAAAAACAAATGTTGCCGGTGAAAGGTGGCAGATGGATACCCTCGAGGACACCGACCCAGCCCCCAGAGCCGTGCGGTGCCAGGTGTGGCAGCGCTGCTCCCTCCATCCCTGTGACAGGCCTGCGAAGCAGAGATAACAAACCTTCCTTGCCTCCGCGGGGCTGGAGAGACCTCGCTAATCTCCTAATGCTTGCAAAGCCCTTGGAGAGCCTCCAAAGCAAGGCAATACAGAAGCACGGGGTATTATTGCCATGGCTCCAGCCCCCCACCAGGAAGGACCACCTCGGGAGGAGAGAGATGATGTTGTCCTTGTTCCTGCTAATCCTCTGCCTCGCTGCTGGGCATGTAAACAAGGCGGCCAGCTAGGACTGGTCAAAAAAGTTCAGCTTAAATTGTTTTGCTTTTGCCATTTGAAAGATAACTGGGCTTTCACGTCAAAGGGAAGGGTCTACCTTCCCTAGAAAATTCTCAGTTTTCATTGAAAGACCTCGCACCCTGATTGCTACACAAATTGGCAACCGGCAAGGAAAATATTTCCTTTAAAGCATGCTGTCATGCAGCTTCCAGCAGGATCTAGCCCAGCGCCTTCCTTTTCTGGTATGGCGGGAATTCCCTGATCAGATAACCCTCCCACATTGCAAGTGTCCTGACCAAGGGGGAAGATGCCAATACGTGGTGCAGGAGACGTGACCCCAACAGAGGGGGAAAGAGCGGAGGAGACCGTTAGACCTATGCCTCCGCCAAGCTCTTCAGTAGCATTTCTTAGTGGAAGTACTTTGTATAGTTGGCCAATATACTTTAGGGGGGTTTATCTGCATGTTCTTCAGATGTTTTTGGAAAAGGATTAACATTTCCCATATCTAATAGCTGTAGTACCGATTTTTTACCACTCATTCAATCAGCCAGCTATGAAACGCTAACCCACGTTGCACTGGCAACCAAGTGAAACATCTCCACGTCTTGTTCCTGGCATCTGGAAGCTCCCTCCAGCCTGCAGAGCACGCTGGAGATGGAGGCGCAGAGTTTATCAGCCTCAGAGAGGTCATCCCATTTACTTCTCCATCTGCAGGGCATGCGAGCAGGACTGCTCTTACTTGAGAAGCTGGCATTTGTAGAAATTTCTTCTATTCTTTCTACTGGATGGCCTTCACCCTTTGAACACCGCCCTGTCACCTCACAGTCCCCTCGTGGAAGTGAGATCAGTGCCATGTGAGGGGGGGACAGCTGCCCATGGTGGGACCACGCCGGAATGCAGCGAGCACAAAGGAACGTAACCATAGCAAAACTCAGAAGAAGAACAGAAACACCCCGCAGGCAGGTTCTGGGGTCGGGGGGTAACAGCCAGATGCTCAGCGGGACACGAGGCAGAGGACGCTCGCCTCAGAAACCCCCTCAGCGGGTGGATGTCACTCAACCTGTGAGACACAGAGGGACAGGGGAACTGGAACAGCCCAGCACGCTGCCCGTGTCCTCACCGGGATGACAGGGAGGTCCAAGGAGTCATCTTCTTGCCTTCAGCACGTGGCAGCAGGGACAGGCGCTCACCCACTGCAGCAGCAGGTCTGGCACAGTGTGTTCAAGGCACACAATTACCTCGACAGCAGAAACGGGGCTGAGGTTCCTCCCTGGAACGTGAAAGACCCCTACGAGAGGACAGAGAGGGCATTATGGTGGCTGGTACCTCTCCGTAGATGCAAAATGATGGCGGGGAAAGGGCCACCCCAAACCAAACGCAAACCCGAGCGAGGCACCTCCGCCCGTGCTCTCGCGCTGCGGCAGACAGCTACTCCCCTTACCCGGCACGGTCTGCACTGAGCGTATGCACGGGTCTGTGGAGCTCCTCGGGACGCCACAGAGGTGGTAAATAGCTTTAATAATAGTTATTAAAAGATCACGGGGGCAAGGACTGTATTATTTAGGGTTTAGACAATGCCAATACTCCCAGCTGGAGCTAAATAAATAACAAGTGAAACAGCAATGATTACACCAGTCGTCACCTGGCAGACACGACGGTCTCCTCCTGGTTAGCAAAGTCTGGGCTTGAAATGTTGTTTTCCCAAACTGCTTTTCCTTCCTGAAGCAGGCACCAGAGACAGTGAATGAATCAAAGGTACTCACCTTGTTCAGAGCCAAGCGAAAAGGGATGAGAAAACACTGAGCGCAAGGAGAGAGGCGAAGGAGTGTTTCCCCACTTGAGTGGATCTCACATACATGAGCTTAGCAACAATTACAGGTTTAGGGCTCAGATGTAACACTTGGAAGTTGTGGCTGTTAGTTTACATTTATCCTGTTTCATCGTTGTTCTGACGGCCTCCTCACGCACCAAGTTAGCTGTCCCAACAAGTTCCTCATTTACAGGACAGGGTAAGCACCATCAGTCCAACCAAGCCGTACCCTGGAGAGCGTCTCAGTGTTGAAGTGGAAGGACCATGGGGTTTTCTCTTTATGCCTGGTCGTCTCTTTTTTGTCAAATGCTCCAAACTCTTCTTTCTCCTGAAACGTCTTTGGGGTTTTTTTGAAGGGTGGGTGAAGCCTGTCAAATGTTTTTAGCTGCCCTTCTAGTGGCTAAAATAAGTCTATATTCAGATTGATTTATTGTTTTCTTTCTCCCTGTAGGTCAGTGCATCTTACTATCCTGCGCCGGGATCATTGGGGCACTCAGCAGCCATTGTCACTCTTCCCCATCTGCAGCACCACATATCAGCTTATATGTAAGTAAGGAAACTGAAATACGTTGCGGGGTCCTGTAATTTTCTGTACCTTCACCTGAGGCTTCTCCAGCCCATGGTTCTTGCGAGCCGGGAGGTAAAGGCAGACCAGAGCACAGCTCCTGTGTGTTCAGATCCAAATGCAGATCCACGTAGGAATGTACTTGGCTGGTCTAAGCAGGGGGTCACAGAGACTTATCACAGTTGAACTCAAAGATTAAGTTTAGGAAAAATCAAGGGATATAAAAGAATGCGGGTACACTACTGGAAACACTTGAGATGATAGATTCTGATCATTCTCTCATCCAAATTACTGCGCTCCTCTTTTTAAATTATATTCCCAGCAGGTGAACCATCCTTGCACCTTACTACCTCACTTAACTATTTATAGAGATATAGTTCTGCCCATTTGTCAACAGTACATTTTAAATTTTTAAATATAAAGAAACTAATTACTCCTTAAGTGCCTCTAGTTATTTATTTTGAGTAAGACAGTGTCAGTCACTGGTGTTTTGAACGATCCAATCTTTTAAAACTTTCCCAGAGTTAAAATTCACAGATAATATATTGTGATGATTTGTTTTCCTCTAGATAAGATTCATCAGCCTGGCACTGCAGTAAGCTATCCAATAACAACAAAATAGCAACAAGCTGTCTACATGGTAATTAGCACCTCCACAGTATCGAGCCAGACCTGTGGAAACATTAGCACACATGAGCAATATCTATAAAGCTGTACTACGCTCATGATGTTTGCTACTTTCATGCATTAGCATAGGTCATCCAAGACTATTGCACACACTTAATCCTAAGCACAAGAAAACTCTTAAGACCTTAAAATAATTTGCAGAATGAGGATTGTATTAAAGTGTTCAATCAGCTGCCTATTTTGCACAGCTCCTTTTTCAACCCTACAATATCAAACCAGTATCTGCATGTCCTGCCCTTCAAGATGAATCCTGTATAAAGTGATAAACCACTGCAGAATTAGAACTCCCTTACACTGAACTCAACTGGTCTGTGCAAGTAACAGAAGGAGAAGTCACTTTATAAAGACAGGCGTTTCAAGTCAAACTTTCAAGTGATTGTTCTGAACAACAAGGAGAGAGAAACCTTTTTAAAAGTTATGGGATAGTCCTTGACTATCTAGACAACTAGTCTGGTTTCTGTTTTTTAAATAATAACCGATAATTGCTGTATTGGTCTGTAACTCATTAATATTTGGGAGCAGATCACATTCCGCTTGGAAAAAAACAACAATGCAATTAAATGTGTTACACTGGAAACAAATTAAAGTTCTTTAAAGAACAAATAGGGGAAAGTTTTGGAAAATATGCCATTTTCTTTTGCTCCTGTTTTGCTGTGTGGTCACACGTGGTTCACTGTGGAGAACAAAGCTTCATCACCTAGTCGTAGTCCTGGAATCACAGCAGAGATGTCTAGAGGGGATCTCAAATTAATTTCTAGCCGTGTTTCCTCGCTGTGCCAGAGCAGAGCCATGTACCTCCTCCTTTGTCCACTTTATTTTCAAAGGCCCCCAGTGGCAGCGACTGAAGTCCCAGTACAGTCTCTGCACGGGTCCGGTCACAGGAGAACGAGGAAAGGGAGGAAGATGGGGTTAACACTGCTGTATGAGCAGTCCTCCTCCCCACGCCTCTGAACACCTCCAGGTGATGCTCAAGGCAAGCAGATGCAACGCCTCTGGCTCACCACGTACTTCAAAGGCAGAATGTATTCTTGATGCTATCGCTCGGACAGAGCATTGTACCTGCATTCTTTCATGCTGCTTTGCCTTAGGACAGGTACACATTAGCCCTTAATCAGTTATTTCAATGGAGCACTCACTCACTGTGTGAGGTGGAGAACAGCAGCTTTCTCCTCCCTAGCGCTTGTCGCCCTTGGCTGGCACTTCTGGGACAGAAGCCATTGACGGGATCTGCTTTGTTCTCCATTCCTCTTGGCTCTTCTTTTATTCATATCCCCTTTGGCCTGAAGTTATGGGCAGTTTCTTCCCTGCGACTTGTCTCCACAATAACGGCAGCACCCAAATACTTGATGCGAGTACTGGTTGAAAAGGCTTCAGGCAAACAGCCGCCCCTCACCCAAAGCCAGCAGCATCAGTTCTTCAGTACGGTTAAACCCAGGAGCTTCAGGATGCGCTCCAGCTGCCTTCCCCCCTCCTCACCCCCGCTGTCTCCCCAGGTGCGTGGCTCTCCATTCCTACGTGGCTCATGGACCGGACGAGCTGGAGCTGCAGAAGGGAGAAGGGGTCCGCGTCTTTGGGAAAGACCATGACGGCTGGTTGCGGGGCATGTCCCTCGTCACGGGGAGAGTGGGGATCTTCCCCAGCAACTACGTCGCTCCCCTCTTCAGGTCTGTTTTTTCTCACATGAAACAAAAACTTGTGCAGAGGGGAGCGGGTAACACGTAGGATTTGGAGTCTTCTCGTTCCCACAGAGAAATCACTGCAAGGGCTTCCTGCAGTACTAACAGGGGCCAGGGATTCCTCGCCTGGGCGGGATGACACCTGGCAGCTCTCACTCCTTTTATTTCTCCGTGTACCGACTCGGCTGCACGCACGGCGTGGGAATCGCATCTTCCTCCAACAGCCGGGTGCCACGGCAGGGAGAAGTCAGGGAGCGGAGGGGGCCGGCAGTGATCCCCTCGGAGGGGGCACTCGGGCTGGATGAGCGAACAACGCAACATCAGCCTTCGTCCACTTGTTTTAAGCCTGAGATGTCGACAGAGACATCAGCAGCTTCTCCCATGACTGTTTAATTCAGTCCAGGAGCTTTGGCAGAGACCTGTAGGTGACACAACCAGCACATTTTGATGAGTTAGTCTGGGAGCCAGGATGAACGGCAGCGTGTCTGTGCTCGGACTCGCCTTTGTTCCTTTCGGATTACGCTGGTCTTTTTTTTTTTTCCTGCCAGAAGGGAAACCACAAGCTGAAGGCTCTTTTAGAATCAAAACACTGTCTTTAGAGCAGGCATTTAAGCACTGGACGCCATTGATCTAACTAAACAAACATGCATTAGAAAGAGCAATAATTAAAATATACAACTCAGGAGAGAAAAAAAATTGCCTGTGCCCTTAGTTCCCCCGAGATACGCTCAGGTTAGGCAGAGAAACAAAGAACAGCTTAGAAATGTAGTGCTCTGCTTCTGCAAATAGAAAGTGGGGATAAGTCAGGACACCTCTCCCAGGACTGTGATTTCGTTATCTGGAGCAGGGTTTCCATGGCTGGAAACTCACTGCGATGGTCCAGCCCCACGGGAGCGGGGACGGAGATGGATGGCTGCAGGGAGCTCTGCTCGAGGGGCAGCTGCAGCCCGCGGGGATCGCCTCCACGCACACCCTCCTGCCCGCACCTCCGCGCAGGGTTAAAGGAGGACTGCACCGAGGGAAGAGCAGGGGCATCTCAGCCTCTGCCTCCCTGCACGCCTTCTA